TGAAATAGGCTAAAAATATGGAATTTCCACTTTGAGACCTTTGAAACAATCCCCATAAATGTCAAGGGCTATTTTGGCTTGACAATGAATTTATCACTTCACTATAGGTTATATTCACAAAGTTAATCTCTCTGACTCAGAGTCAAGTTAAATCATGGCCTTGTGGTAATTACACAGTATTAAGAAACTGTAGGTTTCTAATAAGATGTTGAAGGGTAATAAAATAAATTACAGCATTTGGGCTCTCTTATGCAAAGTGCCAGTCACTTCTTTGGCAGCAGAGCAAGAGTGCCTGTTATATGATCCAGATAGGTACACAGTTATACCTTCTTTACATAAAACTCTATATGATGTTATATATCATTGCATATACAACTGTATATTACTTATGTTTATTATATACTTGTATTTTATGTTATCTGTACATATGTAAACATGTAGATAATTGTACATATGTAGATAATTATCTCATGATAATTTATGAGATCTTTCATTGAATGTTGCGGGTAAGTTAGTATGAGTCTTAAATTGGACCAGTATTATAAAATGCTTTGACTGCATAGTGCTATATTTCTAGAAATAGACAAGTGTTGTACTTTCATGATTAACTTCAAACTTTTATGTTTTATAATACATGAAGTATAAAATTATGTAAAGCTAAGCATAAAAGTTTTATAATGCATCATTTTTCTAATGCATATAAATCGTTATAATATATATAATACATTATAAAACATATACATTTATGTATTATATAAACATAATGCATTATAAATTATAAAGGTTGGTAAATCATTATAAATTAAAATTCTGGAAAATTAAACATTGCAAACATGCTTTGCAACAAAGCAGATGATAATCAGCATCCACTGGATGTATCTCTGAGGAGGCAGCACTAAGAAGAAACTATTAGGAAATGCATCTGTTGTAATTAAGAATGTAAAGCCCAACCACAGTTCTAAAATCTGGCTACACCACTTGACTAACTATGTGACTGGGGACAAATTAATTAGCCTTTTCTTTCCTCCGTTTCCTCACCTATGCAACAGGGGCACCTAATTATACTAGGATAAGCTAGGACGCCAGTAATAACCACCAATAAGAGCCACCGCCCAAGCTCAGTGGTAACATACCACATGTGATTCCCACTCATACAGAGCCTTCCCAGGTCCACACAGATTCTCAGGGTGGCCGAGATCCCTGAGCTGGCCAACACAGCAGGCTGCTTGACTCCTACCTGACAGGCACCCTACCCTGACAGGCACCCATGGGGTCAGAGCAGGGAAAGAGAAAGAGAAGACATGCAGACGCAGAGCACTGGCTCCTAAGCTCCACCTCCTATTAGATGACAGTTTTGATTATTGTGAAGTATACAGAAAGAAAATTAAGATAAGGTTAACCTGAACTTAAAAAAAAACATCATCCAATTCAGAACTAGAAAGCTCTCTAAAAATAAACCCCTTGTAATGCAGAAAAGGTCAGAGAAAATACGAGAATTTTTACCTTAGTTTCCCACCCAGCAAGGGCAGGCCTGAAGTCAAACTCTGCTATCTGTTCTAACTCCCTCCTGGCTGCAGTTCCGCGGCCAAACTTTGCAGGTGTGTTCAGCATTCTTGACTCTTCTGGAATATCGTGGAGACCAGAGCAGCATGGTAGTTAGGTGTCTACTCCAAATTTATATTTAAAAGAAAATCTAGAAATAATGGTAATAATGGAGAGGGTCTTCCAGATCAGAAATTATACTGCAGCCACTATTAACTAATTATATCTTATTTTAACTATTAACTAATTATATCTTAACAACATGATATTTATTATCCAAACCAATTGAAGATTCCAGATTAAATACCATCCTGAAGAAAGATAGTTTTGCTCTGACAAGAAGGAATAAGAATGGAAAGTGGCATGGAGATTTCTCAGAAAACTTGGAATGGAACCACCATTTGATCCAGCTATTCCACTTCTCAGTTTACACTCAAAGGACTTAAAATCAGCATATTACATGATGCAGCCACATCAATGTTTACAGCAGCTCAACTCACAATAGCTTAATTATGGAACCAAGGTTCCTTCCACAGATGAATGGATAAAAATAAATTATATATAATACACACACACAAAATCACACACACACACACACACACACACACACACACACACAC